AACGAGATTTTCAAGTAATATTAGTTTTTATTTAAATAATTCATTAGAAAAATTTCCTAAAGTATACAGAGATATTTTTTGGCGAAATAGCAACCTTTATGTATTTTTTGGAATTTCCCGATTGAGCTTAATTTTTTGGAGAAAATAACTATCTAGTCCCCATTGTACCATTTTCAATGTCTAAGTACAGCACTAAGCACTACAGTTTTATCTGGAACGAATAGAATTGCTGCAAATAAGTAAAATTAAGTATACAAATCTAAAATATTTAATTTGTGACATTTGTTTTTGAATACACTTTCCGCTAATCATAAATTTATTGAAGCCATTAAAATTCTGAAGTTATTATTAAATTTTTGCTTATTTTAAATAGACATAGGTTGAATTGGCTTTTCACTGTTTAGTGCTTCACTGAGTTATGGAATTCTTTGATTGAAGGATCTACCAGTTTGTCTTACATAATTGCTGTATTCTAACAAAGTATTTAGGTATAACCTATCCTATAAAAAAAGAACCATTGAAATCGCAAATAAACTGTGTAGCATGCACGCAAACAAAAAAAACTACGGTCCAATTGAGAATCTCTTCCTTTTATTAACTGCGGCTGAAATTAAAATTAAAAATTAAAGTCCATTTTGGAAGTACCAGAGCACTAACATACGTATTAGAAATGTTAAAGTAAAGTTTTCTAACCTTTTCTTTTCCGCCGTGCCCACTGTCCATATTTCGCACCCGTACGACGCCGCGTTCAAAACATATATTTTTCACAACCTTTTTCGAATTTCTAAATTAACTGTTCGCGAGCATAGACGTGACTCCTTTTTATTGAAGGCGACACGACCCTGCGCTCTACTTTATATCTCTACTACACCTTCTGTCCTGACATATCTGACTTCTAATTTTTCGTCTCCTATCTTTATATTCGCTTTTTCCCTATTTCTTCTTCCCTTGCATGCTAGTATTTTTGTTTTACTTTTATTTATTTTCGTACAGTACTGTTTTGTCAGTACCGTATGTATGACAATCCATTTTATTTAAAATTATCTCAAACTCCTCCTTGCTAGATGGAAACGATTAAACAAACGTAATAATACAGTAAAAAAACTACAAAGGAGCCGATTAGAAGAGAAAAGAGATAGATAGAAAGAAATACGATTATAGGCAGAAAATACATGACCAAAAGAATGGAAAATTGTCATAAACTGCTCACAATAATAGATTATTTTATTATCAAAATGGTAGAGTGATGGTAAAGGAGTGATGTAGCTGGTATAAGTAAACAAATTTGGGGAAAGAAGCTGAAGCAATTAACACAAGAATAATTAGTAAAGGAGCATTGATCCAAAAAAATATGGTTTGATAGGCAGAAATAACAAAGTTGTATGAGAATTGGTGATGAACAAAGCAACACTTTTTGTCTTGCTTCTTGTTTTGTCTTGCCTTACTGGTTTGATTCCTGTCTTGCTATTTTTTGTTCTTGTTGACTTGGGGAGTTCCCTAGTCTGACTGGTCTAAATACGTGGAAGAAGGGTTTTGATAAAGAGTAAAATCTAAATATACATATATTTCATTTACTTTCTGTAGCGATGTGACCTTCAGTTTGACCGGCGCAAAGTAGAAAAGAAAAGCACTAGGCCAGAAAAGGAAGGAGACAACTCTCGGCCAAACTCTTAACCGTTGAGGAGTGTATAATCCGTACAGTACTGCACGGAACAATAGACCATTTTATCCACTACAATTGCATTGCTCAAATGTGCTGTTATTGGTACCAATTACTACTCAAAATATCAACGAGATGTTTATTTATATTTAAAAACATATTAAAGGCTTTAACGAATGTTTTCGACTCGCACTACTATTCATGATTGAACAAAACTTTTGGCAGGTACTGTATGAAAAAGTATGTTTAATGAACAAGAGTCGAGAGTATAATGAGCTTTTTT